ATCAGCGTTCAAAACACAAGAAATCGGACCAAGTGAAACAGCTTGTCGAGTAAATACATCAATTTTCTTGATTGGCTATTGTGCACGATAAAACGAAAAGAATCGCGAGTAAAACACAGTAGAAGGATGAATAATAGCCTGTTGCTCATTTCTATCAGAAATAGAAATACCTGAAAACACAGTAGGTTTAACTTTGACGACGATTGACCCTCTCAAGTCAGCCCAATATTCTTCGGTAACGATTTCTAGTGGGCTACTGAACATTGCCCGCCGCTCCTCGGGGCTCGTTGCCACTTGGGAGCCAAGTTCATTATGACGGTTAATTTTCAGGGGCATGATTTTATTCGGACAGAAATGCTTGACATTCGCGATACACATCTTTCAACAGGCGCGGATACAAGGGGGGGGCCATGGGGGCCATGGCCCCCCCCTTGGCCGATTTTTTTCAAAAATAAAATAAAAAGTTAAAAAGTTAAAAAGCTGAAAAGGGGGCCTCCTGAAAATAAAGTGGCCGAAATCCGATGAGTTTTTTTTTTAACCTACCCACTTAGTTATTTCTTAGAAGACTAGCTGAGAAGACTTCTTTGTTAGAAGATTGGTAAAGCTTTTCATAACTTGGAGGTCTCTTATACTCACAGAGATGACCACTTTTACAGGGCCTCCTAACCTGCACAGAGGGCCTCCAAGCCTGCACAGATGTTGAGATGTTGCCTGAACAGCTAGATAAGCTCAATAGACGCAGTTTTTTTTGGGGGGGGCCCAACAAGTGGGAAGATGGGGCCTCCAACAGGTGGGATTATGGGGGGGGCCTCCTGGTTTCTAATGGCCCCTCCCTTGGATATTTTCTGGATCCGCCCCTGTCTTTCAACATAAGCAAAATTCAAGAAGTCCCGAAACTCAGCATGACAAATGCTCAGTAATCCCATCGCTAACAGCGGTAACCCATCGCAAAAACGGCTGCGTGATCTACGGCCTGGCACCTAACCCTTTGCCCCTGCCCTCCCCTCACCCTCCCCGCCGCGTCCTTCCATCTGACGGCCGCTGGACCAGCGGTGACATCAGAACGGGCACCGTCCACCGATCACCAATCACCGATCACCAGCGGGCGCGTCACGCCGCCGCCAGCAGCGAGCCGCGTGCAGCGCGCGTGCTCTAAACGGCCAAAGTCGCGCCGGCCGCCGTCACAGCCACCGGCCGTACCGGGGGTCTGTGTTTGGAACGATCGACTGCTGGGCTCAAAGGTCGAACGGCCGCCAACGTGCCGGCGAAGGCAGTGGGCAGCGGTGCAGCTTTGATGTGACGCGGGGACGAATCTGCTCGCGAGAGGACGGTGTATGATGGAAGCCTCGGGGCGGTTTCGGATCGTTTTTCAATAGGTGGATGTCAATCAACAGAAATCAGCAGCCGATAAGAAATTTTCAAATATAAATGGACCTTCAGTGGACTTTGGAAGACAATTTTAAAATAAATTAGTCGCTGCGTGTCCGAAGGGATCCCATTTGTTTCATACCCAGAAATAAGTGCTGGCATTTTATAAATCGTTATGCAAGGGATGTTTCAAAGTTAATCTTTCTCCAGAAGTAACTTGATTAAGTCTGCTCTCAAAAGGGGACGGAGCGCTAGAATAGGTATCATGTTCAGTTAAATCAGGGGTCGGCAAATGGTGGGGCATGCCCCCTTTGGGGGTAATGGCGCCCTTCGGCGGGGGGTAATGAGGGCCTCTGAGAAAGCCTCATCTTTTTTTAGAATTAATGGCTCCCTTGATGGGACAAACATCGCAACTGTTGTGCCCCAGGATTCAAAGATTAGTCGAGGTCAAACGCACAAAGCATGAACTGATTAGCTGGCGCATGCCAATTTTCATGTAGCTGCTCACCATTCCGTACAGTCGTGGAAAGTAACTGTCATGTACTAGCCGGCGCTCGTCTATTGGCGTCTTCACAGTCACTAACGCAAGGGAGAGGAGTCGTCCATTGCACCCTGACCTGAGCATCTCGGTCTCTGAGCTGGAGCTTTGCAGAAAAAATGAGCGTGTTGCCCGTGAAGATAAGCAGCCGCTGCTACCCAATTTAAAGGTCGTTGGTCATTGGGTGACCTTCCATAGGTCAATAACAACTGCCGAGTTAATTGTTATCGGGTCCTGCTGTAATTTCTTGAAGTGAGATTTTGTGGCCTGCCATGATCTCAAGAAAGATATCACAAATCAACGGTTATTCGGGTTAAGGTCATGCCATTTTCAGGACAGATAAAAATGATCGGCTCGATGGTACAGTTTTTTTCGTGATCCGACCCTTTTAACGTGGTCTATTCTCGAAAAATACCCGCTACCCCTATACGTATGGGGGTTAACCCGCGCCCCGCTGGGGCTCCTGGATTTCCACGCCCTGCTGGAGATGGAGGTTGAACACCCCCTATTAACCCGCGCACCGACGGGGGTCTGCGCCAACTTCGCACCGACGGGGGGGCGGATGACCGCCCCCCCCCCCCCCCTGAGATCTCGAGAACGAAGCAAGATAGCGACAAGCGGTAAACGGCATCGGATACGCACGGACAAGGTCTACAATTTTTACAAAGGTTATTTTCAGGTCAGGTCAAAGATGGCGTCACAGGGGTCGAAAAAGTCAAAATGGCGGCGCTAGATATGGAGAGTTTTTTTCTCGAATAAATTTCGAATTAGTCAAGATAGGAACAAACTAAGGGCGTCATCGTGATCCTCTTGTTAATCCGCATCGAATGATATATATGTTGACCTCGAAAGGTCAAGGTCAAAGGTTGACCTCAGGTCACGTGACATCGAGGTCATTATGTATATCATTCGATGCGTCTTGACCAGGTGAACACAATGAGACCATCCGCGCGGGCCCGCGGCTGTATCTTGTTCCTGTACGAGGTTATTGGCAAAAAAACCTTTGGTGACCTTTGATGACGTCACATGACCTTACAGCTGCCCAACAGCAAAACAGACCTCAAGGTAGTGAAGGTTGATCGTATATGAAGTCATGTATGGTATATGGGGCCATTCCGATCCGTTTTAGTGGTAAAAACAGGGAGTTGATTTTCCCCATTGACTTATAATGGGGAGGTCGCAAAGTTGACCTGACCTTAGGTCACCGACATCAAAATTCCGAGATATACAAATTGTAGCTACTAATGACCTAATAACATCCTGCGACTTTCAAAGGCCTCCGACATCTACTGTAGCTCTGGCACGGTGACAAAGTTGCAAAAAAGTGACTTGAGGTTGGGTCATTCAAAGTGACCTGGTGACCTGACCTTAAATGTTAGGAGGTTCAAACTTGCACACCATGTGTAAAACTGATGAGAAAATAGTCGTACCAAATTTCGTGGCGCCACGCGCCGCGGTTTTCCCGCTATCCGCGAAAAACCTCCCCCGCCCCCCCCCCCCCCCCCCCCCGTCAGTGCGCGTGTTAACTTGGCTCCTGGGTCACTAGCGAAACGCCGTAGTCGGCGATCGAAAGAGCGTAAGAAATGATGAAGAAAAACTATGGTCACCTTTTAGGTCAAATCAAAGGTCAGGTCAACCGAGGTCATCGAACGTAAAATTTCGCCAATTTCCAGGTCAACCTTTGACAATTTTCGACAAACTGGCCTATAGCTTAGGAAAGGATAGAGCTACAGCGCTGCGGAAAAACGCATTCGATAGCTCTCTTAACGTTCTTTCTGATGCCTGCCCTCAGATTCAACCGAAGATGGTTTAGCCTGCAGGAGACAAAAACTGTCAAAGTGTACGTTGCTTGCTGATAGTTTTTCTTAAATAACTTTTCACTCAAAACTTGCAAGAGCTCACTTTTATCAGCATCGTGATCCTCCCGTCGAGAAGCATCGAAGGTTTTGTTGCACATCAGTCGATCCGTATCGTCGAGCTGAACACATCTAAGGCATTTTCATCGCTCTGGGATGCCTTTATCAAAAGTTATAAGCGAATAGCTGTTAGATACCATTCATGACATGAAATCCGTCTTTACTGAGGTGAGGTCACTTGACGTGATCTGGTGACCTGACCTTGAGTGACTCTGGTCTGAAATATTCACAACATGTGCAGAAACGATGCATGACAAAATGTTCCAAAATGGTAGCGCTCCGTGCCAACGTTTTTGAGATATTTGCGAGAAACCGCAGGGGAGGGGGCCTGCGGTTTCTCGCAGATATGGTACCCAAAGAGTCACGGAAAAGTATGGAATTTCAGTAACCTTGGTTGTATCACCAATGGGGTCTGGTAGGTGGGGGTAATGGCCCTGCCTGGCGCCAAAAAAGGGGGCACGACCCCGGAGGACCTGCCGACCACTGAGTTAAATGAAAAACAATATCAAATCCTTAACCAAAAGCGTAAACAAGAGTGCTGAGTGGGATATGTGGAAGTCGCATATCATCCCTATAGGTTGTCTCGATCGATTCAAATCAATCGACTCGAATGTGTTGTTCGTGGATGAGTCGGTAAGGCCGTCCCTCGAATCCTGCCGGCTGCGGCACGAACTAAAGCTTTTGTAGATGACTGTCGAGGACGCCACAAGCGGGACATCGGGAACCGATGAGCATCATCGATGCAAACAAATTTGTAGGCGATGTGAGGCCCAAAAGGTATTGGGTTCCAAGAACCACTAGATGTTCCTTTTGATTTAACAATTTATACTTTGCAAGCGGCAGCCCTTTCCTCACCGCCGGGCATCGCGCCGGGCGCCGCACGGCACCGGGCGCTGCCTTACCGCAGACCATGTGTTGCGGTACAGCATAACTTCAGGCGCTACAACTAGTGTCATCTAGCGGCCAGAAGGAAAGCTCAGCCCCGGACGCGTTACGACTTACGAACCAGCCAGGCGTCATCAATGAAAAATACCACGGCCCATGGGGGCCATCATATGAAATTATTTGCACAGACGCTTGCACAGAATCATACATGACAATGCTTTGAACATTGGAGGATCGTTTCTAGCAACAAACCGGTGCATCACAGCACACACACTTATCGGTAAGGTACTCACCGAATGCGGATCTTTCCAGTCTGCAACAAAGGAGCGCCTTTTTGAATGGTTTGAAGAGAAGCAGAAAGTATATCAGCGTTAAAACCCTCAAGTAATACGTCTTACACCTTTATTTTATGTCTTCCGACCGTCCGTCTTGCGATTCTTAAAGCCTGCAACAGAAATCATTGGATAGGAAATTGAATCAAATTATGCATGCACTGTCGGAAATACTAAGCCACTAAAACCAAAACATAAATAAGTTTTCACTTCGAAAGACTACGCTGTTTCCAATAAGCCACGTTTCCTATACAACATACATTATGCAATGCAGACAATCTCCACCCACATGGTACCCGGCCCAAGACAATACTGCGACATATGTAGTGCTATCAAATTAATGGCTCTGGTTCTCACGCCAGAGGACAATAACTTGTCCCACTCATCCCTCAGCGTCCCTTTGGAAGAACAAAAGGACGTTTGCCGACCATTCATTTACTTAAATCGGTTTCCACTTAACGGTTTATATAATGGGCCATGGCACAATGGCGTAATTTTGGCCCTCGTGTCCACGCTATGACATATGGTGTTTTTGAAGGTCTACCGTCTAGGCAAATTGCCAGCTGCGTGGCATGGAACGATAAAAGACCCCTAGGCCCTATCCAAATCAATTAACCTCATATAAACCACATTGAGGTTTATAATCATACAAACTTCAAATCAACAATCAAGCCTCATATAAGCTCACACCTTTTGGCTCTTTCATAGAAGCAACCAACTCAACAGTATAATGTTCAACAGAACATTATACACTGCGTGAGATAATGTTCATAGCTCACAAGGCAGGACCGGCTTGGTGTTTTACGGCTGACAAAAAAAAATGTATTTTCACCTATTTCACGGCTGAGCAAAATGTATTTCCACCGGCCTGCATAAACGCATGCCCCGACTCTTACATATTAGCGCATCTAAGCACGATAGCAATAAAGCATGACTCGCAGACCGGGGAACATCCCCATGCTGCCGGTCCTGGTAAAATAAGCGTCTCGCGAAGCGTTCCGCCACTAGACGATCTCGGACATGACATCGAACGGTTTTGGTGTAGCTTTGAGATGGAAATAGCAGTTCTACGGGCGCTCAAATTACAAGTGTCAACTTCATCGTTTACATTCTGGAATCAGACATCACAGAAGGGCGTCTAATTTGTGAAACCATAATTCAGCGTGACAGGAAATTAGCGCTCAATCGGCACGGCAGCGGCCGATTTCCCCGCAAAGCACCGCTTGGCCGACAGCTTGGCGAGTTAGTTTGTCGCTCGTCAGTTCCCCCACTGCAAACTGGTGCGGAACGCGGGGAGGGGTGATGGCACTAGCTGAACAGGCTGGGTACGCTTCTAATCAGTCATGGAAAATGGAGCAAACATTTCCTACAAACTAACGCATCTTCGCACAGGGATTGTAAATTTTCGTCCCGTATCCTGTAGTAACGGAAGCTTTCCAAAAGCTAAAGACACATTCCCACCAGCCACTTTACCTTCCCATTAACCACTTGAGTGTTTTCCACTTATCGTCCGTTCCATCCCTCCCGAACCGCAGCGGCGTCGGAGAACGTCAAAAATCGTTACCGACCCTGTGAGCCGTCCGTCGGCAGCAGCGGCGACGATCGAAACACGGCTCCATCGCCCGTGCCGTCTTACGTGGCGTGGTCGTCAGACAACTCACCAGACTTCCCCCGGAGTCGAGTTCAATAGCTGGGGTCTTTAAAACACCACACCGAGTCGACGGCGGCGACACCCCTTCACAGACCACCCGCGGCCGACAGCTTCCATCAACTGCCGTTCCGGGCAGCGGTGGCGGCGGCACACGCCGCGCGATTGATCAGCCCCGCAGCTCGTCGGTACCGGCATCACGAAACCCCGTCCGCCCGGGCAGAATATTATTACTGGTTCACTTACCGAGCGGCGTATACACTTACCGGTAGATGTGGCGCAGAGCCGCTCGGAAAGGAGCCTGCTGATAAATGGTAATGACTAATGATATAACAATAATCACATCGATACTGAAAGGAATATTTTAGAAATGACATCACCACAATCAATTGACCGAAATTGGAAAATTATAAGTATTTAGGTCTTCAATACGGACAGCTAGTTAACCCTCGCCAGCCGAGGGGGGGCGGGTGCTGCCACCCCCCCCCCTTTGCAGCTGAAACTTGGCATACCTGACTTTTGATTCAAGCTGGATCTTAAGACACCAACCGCATTTCGGGTCAGGTCAGGTCACTGACCTATGACGTCATAAGTGCACCTCTGCACGGTCTTCAGATGTCGCAACTTCGCAACGCCCTCACTGCCAGAGGAGCTTTCACAGGGAGATGAAATCTGCAGGACCTCGTATCCATTAGGAGTCTCACAACTTGTATCTCGGATTTTTCCTAGGTCATATGAAGTCAGGCCATTTTCGTGACCTCACCATCATAAGTCAACGGGGAAAAATGAAAACTGCTATTCTGGCGCCGGGAACGATCTCCAACTATCTCAAGCACACAGAATGGTGATTTCATGCACTCCTTGCAAGGTTCCATGCGTCACTTTTGCAATGTTGACCTTGCGTGACGTCATTTATGACGTCATTAGGGTCATATTAGTTTTTCGTCAATAACTCCCAATCACATTGCGCTAGCGAGTCGGGAAAGCCACCAATGGACTCAAGAGACCTGCCGAATCGAATGATATGCAACACGCCCTCCTTCGACCAATTTCGTGACGTGGGGGCGTTGACCTGACCGTGACCCGAGGTCAACACCCAAGTTGACCTCGCCCAAACAAAAAGTATATCACCCGACGCGCCTGAGCGAGGCAAACACGATACTGCCAAAATCGCGGCTCTGCGGCCGTTTTTGGCGAAGTTATTCACCAAAAACGGAACCGTACCTTGGGGCACTTGACCTGACCTCACAGGTCATCGATTGACCTAGGACCTTAAAATCGGGTATCAATTTCTGCGTCTCGTAACGGTGCACGCGCTCGTTTTTCCCGCGACGCGCTAGCAGGGGCGAAACGGCGAGGGGGTCGTAACCCCCCCCCCCTCGGCCGGCGCGTACATATGTAGAAAACCAATAGGTCCGGCGAAGGTTAATTTGTGGCTCGGGGGCTATGCCTCATATTAACCCTAGCCAGACTTACCAGCTTCCTAGGTACACCGAGGGCGTTGGAGACCTCTAGCCGTTTCACCCCCATTGAGATAGAACTTTGCGGAAAAACAAACGTGTGCGCCGTTCCGAGGCGGAGCAACTGGTGCCCAGTTTTAAGGTCTCAGGTGTCCCACCTTTGCCAACTGGTGACAACCGGTGGTCTCTGAGGTCAGGTCACATGCCCAAAAGTGAGGATTCGGTTTTTGCTGAATAAAGTTGTCAAATATGGCTACAGAGCCATCATTTTGGCACCATCATGTCTGTCGAGCTCAGGCGTATGATGTATGATGGGTATGATGTATGTTCAAATGATGTACTTCTACTTTTTGTGGGGGGAAGTCAACTAAGGGTGTTAATCTCCTCAGGTTTAGGCCAGGTCAAAGCTGTTCAGGTCACAAAATTGGTCAACAAAGGTCATGTTGCAAAGTACTCAATGCAGGATGTTTCTTGGAGTCTAATTCTGGCTTTCTCAGCTCTCTAGCTCCATTTCATCGCGAGTTATCGATGTGAAGCTGATGACCTTAGTGATCTCATGCATGACGTCATGCAAGGTCAACAATGCAAAAGTTAACCTTGCCAGGTGTGTATGAAACACAATTTCATGTGCTTTGTCGTGTTGGCGCTGTGGGTAGCGCGTGGCTGGACGGACGGTCCGTGACAATCTATTGATCTGTGGCTGATCTATTAGAGTGTCCGTCCGAGAGCCGTACGACGGCTGACAGAGCCTGGGGGTCGCGAACTGGTGTGGTAACCGTTACGCCCACCTGGGACGCCCGAGTCGGTACGGCACTTGCGGTGTCGTAACCGGATCGGCGGGAACCAGCAGAACGCTGTTGGACCGGCGGTGAAAGTCGGAACCGAGCACTCGCCCACCAGTGGGGCGTCTGGTCGAGCAGGTCTACCCGCTAAGGCAGCCTGAGCACGAACCAGCGGCCGGGTCCGATCAATGACCGTGGTCCGACCAGGGTGTCAGCGCAATGGCCAGTCAGAGGCGTCTTTAAGGGCGCAGAAGCCCACCTCGGTCGACTGTGGCCGGTGCAACCTAGTCAGGTCGTTTGTGTGAATCTCCGTGTTCTTCCTTCGCCTCAGAGTAGCCGCTCTTCTCCAAATGCCCGAGCCGTTTTCTATGTGTATTTGTCTTGTAGCGAACAGCAGAGTCGAGAAACGAATTGACAATGTCGCCGAAAGCCGCGGTCACATGCTGGCCTTGCCTAGTACTACCAATATGCCCGCAGGCGCGGCGAGAGACAAGCTTAACGTATGAGTCACCGTCCGGCTGTCGGGAGAGCCCCTACCGCGACCTTTGCTCACAGTCATGACGTCACGACAATGGGCTCCTAAACGTACGGGCAGCGGCCGCCTCAGGGGTGCCGCCGTGACCTTTGCACACACGTTCTATAGCGTATGGCACAGCGGTTACTAGGAAGGTTGAGGCCAGCGGCAGGCCGGTTTACAAATAACAAACATGACGCGCAATTGACAACAGGTAACAGATTGATTAATAAAGCGGTGACAATACAAATGAAAATGACAACATGAAATGACAAATCGCATAGGTGACAAATCGCATAGATGACAAATCGCATAGATGATCCCTACAGTACCCCCTCGCCAGACATGTCGCGGACAAAAGTGACATGGCGATATCTTACCGGAGGTCGTATGACGCGGCCGGAGCGGGTCGTCCGTAGTATCGGCTGAGGCTGCAATGGTGCAGCGTCAGCCCGAGCGACGGCTGCAGGGCGATTTGGTGCGAACTCGCCGGGAAGCCGCAATGTGGTGTTGCCGGTATTGCTGCTGTTGCCTCTGCTGCTGCTGCTGCTGCTGTTGCTGCTGCTGTTGCTGCTGCTGCTGCTGCTGCTGCTGTTGTTGCCGCTGTTGCTGCTGCTGGACGGTCGAATGGTGCCTTGCTGGAGCATCTTGTTGAACTCGTGCGATTTGAAGGCGCTCCAGCGGGAGGCGTCGTGGCCGCTGGTACACCGGTGGACCCTTGGTGACGATGTGGTGCGTCACGTTGTGCTTCACCGGTGTCGGTCCAGGTTTTGGTGAGGTCACATCCGGGTACCGGGCGAGGACAGCTGCGAAGCGAGCAGCAGCCTGCTCCCGGACGAGACGCACTCCGATGGAGCACAGCCTTGACCGCTCGGCGCTGGCGCAGACGGTGCCGTCCCGCAGGAGACGCTGGTTGGCAACGTCCACGACGAGGTGATGTGCGGCCAGGAAGTCGGTGCCCAAGATGGGTGTGGTGACGTCAGTGACGAAGAATCGATGTTTCAGGCGGTGCTGCTGACTCAAGGTGACGTCCAGCAGGCAGGTGCCGTGCACCGCGATCGGTGAGCCGCTTGCCGCGACGAGCTGCTGGCCGACAGGAGCAGGGGTCAGCGTAGACCCGTTGGGCAGGCAGCGGCGAGGCAGCACGCTGACCTGCGCCCCCGTGTCGACTAGAAATTGCCGGTCCGTCTCCGTGTCCCTCACGAAGAGGAGTGGCGCGGCAGGAGGGGCGCCCGTGCTTTGCGCCATCAGCACGGGGCGCCTCAGTTTTCCGAGGCGATCCAGGAGCACGGCAACTTGCATCGGCGCGCTTGGGCGCCGAATCGCTGGTGGTACCAACACAGCGTGTCGTCGTGCGGCGGCGTTGAAGGACGAGCCGGTGACGGGCGGCGTGACTGGCGAGACGCTTGGCGCGGCCGGGAACGGCTGCGGTCGCGTCGCACGGCGTCCTCGAGTCGTCGGTTACTGGCCTCCAGGCGTTCCATCTTAGCGACCAGGGAGGCGATGACGGTGTCCAGCGCAGGGGCTGCAGCTGGCGCTGGGGCTGTCACTGCAGCAGCGATGGGCGGTGCCGGCTGTGTGTACGGCTGTGCCGCGATCGCTGATAGCCGTGGGTCCGGTCCGCTAGCTTCCAGGTACCGGTCGGCCGCTTCTGCCAGTGCGTCAAGCGTGCTGTCGGCTGGCAGGAGGGCGAGGGCAGCACGGACGGGCTGCGGTAGCCGTTGTTGAAAAAGGGTACGGAAGAGCTCCGTATCAACCGGGGCGTCCCCGGCTGCGGCTAGCTCGTTGCGCATTGAGCGCAACAGCGCCGTCGGCTTCTGATCGCCGAGCTGCTGGCGGCCGAGCAGGGCTTGTAGTCGGTCGGCGCGTGACTGTGCCAGGCGGGCTTGGAGCGCCGCACACAGCACGTCAAAAGACCGGGATGACCGAATGACGTCCTTGACCTGGACGGCGATGTTGGCGGGGAGGTTTGCAACGAGGAGCTTAAACCTCAGCTCGTCGGAGTCGACCCCGCTGACGTCGAAAGCGCACTGCACCTGCAGTAGCCACAGGTCGGGCTCTTCCGGAGAGTATGGTGGTAGCCGGAAGCTAGCCATGGGCCGATGAGTTGACTCGGAGGCTGAAGCTGGAACGCTGGCTGGGTCTTGAGCTGCGGCGCCGGACTGTGCGCTGTCCGCAGGCATGACGAGAGGCTAAGGTCGAACAACGGAGATCACGTCGGGGTCACCAATTGTCGTGTTGGCGCTGTGGGTAGCGCGTGGCTGGACGGACGGTCCGTGACAATCTATTGATCTGTGGCTGATCTATTAGAGTGTCCGTCCGAGAGCCGTACGACGGCTGACAGAGCCTGGGGGTCGCGAACTGGTGTGGTAACCGTTACGCCCACCTGGGACGCCCGAGTCGGTACGGCACTTGCGGTGTCGTAACCGGATCGGCGGGAACCAGCAGAACGCTGTTGGACCGGCGGTGAAAGTCGGAACCGAGCACTCGCCCACCAGTGGGGCGTCTGGTCGAGCAGGTCTACCCGCTAAGGCAGCCTGAGCACGAACCAGCGGCCGGGTCCGATCAATGACCGTGGTCCGACCAGGGTGTCAGCGCAATGGCCAGTCAGAGGCGTCTTTAAGGGCGCAGAAGCCCACCTCGGTCGACTGTGGCCGGTGCAACCTAGTCAGGTCGTTTGTGTGAATCTCCGTGTTCTTCCTTCGCCTCAGAGTAGCCGCTCTTCTCCAAATGCCCGAGCCGTTTTCTATGTGTATTTGTCTTGTAGCGAACAGCAGAGTCGAGAAACGAATTGACAATGTCGCCGAAAGCCGCGGTCACATGCTGGCCTTGCCTAGTACTACCAATATGCCCGCAGGCGCGGCGAGAGACAAGCTTAACGTATGAGTCACCGTCCGGCTGTCGGGAGAGCCCCTACCGCGACCTTTGCTCACAGTCATGACGTCACGACAATGGGCTCCTAAACGTACGGGCAGCGGCCGCCTCAGGGGTGCCGCCGTGACCTTTGCACACACGTTCTATAGCGTATGGCACAGCGGTTACTAGGAAGGTTGAGGCCAGCGGCAGGCCGGTTTACAAATAACAAACATGACGCGCAATTGACAACAGGTAACAGATTGATTAATAAAGCGGTGACAATACAAATGAAAATGACAACATGAAATGACAAATCGCATAGGTGACAAATCGCATAGATGACAAATCGCATAGATGATCCCTACAGCTTGACGAGGTCTACGATCATTGTCAGCGCCAAACTAGCGTATCCGTACTGCCCAAGCACATGAGTCCTCCGTGCAGCCTAGTGGATAAGGTCAAAGGTGTCCATCTTGTAACTCAGAGGCATCATGTTTGCGGAGGGGGGGGGCTCCACACAGTATAACTTAGACCCGTGTTTCTATCTTCATTCTTCCACCAATGTGGCAACTGGCGAGACTCGAGAGGGCCACGGAAAACCCCTGGTTTTAACCACAGTGTATATAAATAGTTTTAACTTTTGCTAGTGGACCAGGTGTAGGTAAGGTTGAGTGGTGGATCTGTGACTGTGTGATTGATCTTCGCGAAAAGCGCCACTTGGCATGGCACCCGATTCAGTCACCCATTTACTATGCTGTCTTACAATATTTAAAAATAATGGGTCATGATGTCCTAAATATTTAGAAGTGTGCTATTGTTCATATTCATTTTCGAATCAACCCAGCAGGCCACTAGGCCATCTATACCTAGAGGCGATCATCCACACATTGCAGGCCGAGAAACCCAAACATGATCACATTCTTTTGCCGCTTTGACAGCCAGATGCATTCGAACAAGGAGATGTTTGATCCTAAATAAAATGCTATTGCTTACCTTGAGGTGATAATCAAAATATTTCCGCAAATTTAATTTCAAACCCCGCATTCCCAAACCTCCCAAACCAATCGCCCGCCCGCGCAAACTGAAACGATATTTTGAAACGAGTGCGCCAGTTTCAGGGACAAAGTTCCAAGCCTATTTTGCAGCTAACTTATGTCGAGGGCAGCGCAGACCACAGATCCACCACCTCTTCGCATTATCCCACTTTGAGAAAGTGCTTCAATTTTTGATAAGCAAAAGCGAAATTCGCATTGGCGTAGCTGTTTGATTGCACACAAAGATATCAAGTTCAAAGCAGTTGCCAGTCGGATCTGTTTTCTTCAAAACTTGGAATACTGCGCATAAAAAATATTGACATGGGCCCAAATATCCAAAATTTTCCAAAAAGAAAAAGCAAATCACCTTATCACGCCATGAGACCCAGGTTATATTTCTTCTGTCATGCGCCGAAACAGTGTAACAGTGAACAGGAGGTGGCGGTGACCTGACGGTGGTGTTGCGCGGCCGCCGGTCAGAGTCCCACGCCGCGGTACGACTCTGGTGGATAGGGGAAACGGCACGTCAATTGCATCGGCGTGCGCGCCAGCTGCACAGACTGAGAGGAGAAGCCTTCTGTAGCCTTCGGGGCACCACAGAGCCACGCAATGCCAAACAAAACCGGGCGCTCGGAGCCACCCTGCGATAGTGATATGTTAAAACTATTCTAACGCGCACTAAAATAACTTCAAATGAAATGAATGTCACAAAAATATGCGAAACAAAGCACAGGCAGTCACTCGGCGTCGCAATGGAAAACAACGGTAATGCTGAACACGGTCGAAATAATGCATATTCCGACGACTCTCCAATCCAATGACAAATCCAACATCACGACGGGCGCTTCGCGGTGTGCCAACCAAGCAGACCGTATCAAAACAAACTCGCGCGCTCGCGAGCGGGCCCGAAGTACCATCCCTGACGCGAGACCCAGCTCCTACGCCCCTACCTCCCTAGTCTCACTATTTCCCACGCAGCCAACACATACCGCTCTTTCCGCTTCCGCTGCGAGCAGACGTATAAAACACAACAGGCTTCAGTGTAAAAATATAAAACAGGGCGAGAGGCGTGCTGGCGCGAGCAGCGATTGACGGCACGTACCGCGGCAGACTCGGAGCGCCGAGTGACCGGCGTCGACCGCACCCCACACGGTTCACTGTCGGGTTAACTGGACTGACAGAGGCCCTCACGGTCACGGGTGGGCCTCTGATCGCCGGGACTGGATCTCCGCTGCAGAAAACAGCCGACACCTTTCGGAAGCTCGGGTCCGGTCTCGGCCACAAAACACCGCCCCGTCCGCCGACAGGTTCACTTGGGACGCGCTACGCACCGCTCACCGCATCGGTATGTTTTAGTGGTTGACTGCGAGCTACTATGAGACATGTATGGACCTACAGCTGACCCCACAACCACACGGTGAAACAGCGAACAGGCTAGTGTCAGGTAAGGCCATGTTCGCGCAACCCAAGCGCGACAGACAGCGCCCGGTTCGAATCACTCATAGACGGTATATCTCGGACACACAGGCAATACGTCATCCACACTCGTAACCCTTCATCTTGCTAATACGTCACTAATTCGACACACTGCATGTGAAAATATACCCTCTTCCGCGAACACCGCACCCCCCAGCCCAAAACAGCGAGACCAAACCACTCCACTAAAACGCAGACGATAAAAGCCGCGGCCTGGCACGTGTGCTTTGTACATACGAGCTCCCTTTCCACCGATGCTGGTCCTAGGCGGACACCACGTCTGGCCTGGGCTGGCCGGTGGAGGGAGGCGCGGCAGACACCGCCGGCGGCACGGACGGCGTCTGGCCCGGCGCCGGGGGGCCGGGCGGGCTGACCGCGGCCGCCGGGGCCGGGCCCGGCGCGCCGGCCGCCGGCGCCGCCGCCGGGGGCGCGTGTTCCCCGGCGCTGCCGCTCTCCCTGCGGCCGGGGGAGAGCAGGTCCTGCCGGTCTCGCTGGCGCTCCTTGTTGGGTCGGAACGCGTCGGCGAGTGCGTCCACTCGCTCCTTGGTGGGCGCCCAGCGCGCGTGGCCGGCGTCGTTCTGCAGCCAGACCACCACCGTGCCGTTGCCCGAGCGCATGGTCGAGTCCGCTCTGAGGGAGGGGACGGGGCGAAGTCAGCAAACTGCAGACTCGGGTGGTAGGCTATAAATGGGCATTTTTATAGGACGTTCACAGATTAAGCACCTTCAGCATAAGGCGATACACTGGGACTGGGTCGGGTTGACAGACAGTAGTAACTAGCGTCTTGAGTGTAGCCTCAGTCATCCACTAGAGACCCCCACAGTCATCCCACCCTCACAGCAGCCATATCGCGGTGCGAGTCGTTACCTCTCGGGTGAGTCGGCCGGAGAGGGTCGGAGCGGGTCTAGATGCCCCTCTCCCCCCCCCCCCCTATTCACACACACACTGCAGTCATACCCTCCATTTGTTACCTCTCGGGTGAGTCGGCAGGAGAGGGTCGGAGCGGGTCTAGAGGATCGCTCGGCCGCAGGTAGGAGGGTGCCGCCAGCACGACAGCGGCCGGCACGTACAGACCGCACCCGCTGGTGGCACGGACCGGAGGACCAGAGGGTGATTAGGATGGGGAGGATCGGCTGGTTAGTGCGATAGGTGGGCTAGAGGTTCGTATGGAATTGTCAACGGCCAGCGGTTGGTAAGGAATTGGGTAGACAGTAGACACAGTGAGGGGTTAGAAGGGGACGTGGACAGAATTAGGAGGAAAAAAATTGACAGAAACTGGGCAAGCTGAGTCATACGATAACAAGATAATTAAGTATGCTATCAAAATGACTGAATGGTAGGTCGAGTGTATACTGCACATTCCACTCCAATCAATTACAAGGAGGCAGGCTCCATATAGGAAAAGTTCACCAGCGTGGATCCATGAGCACTCTCGCCCCATTCCGGTACGTTTGTTGAGACCCCACGGCCACGACAGTCTCCTTCGCCCGCCGCTCGGCTCCGAGCCAGTCTCACCTGCTGACCACGTGCTGGAAGCCGTGCCGGTAGTGGTGCTCGAAGGCGGGCAGCGCGATCTGGCGCCGGTTCCACCTGCTGCCCTCCAGCTGACTGAGCGCCGCCGGCGCCGGGTCGCGCCACTCCGGGAAGAACACGACAAACGAGAGCGGCTCGGCAGTCTGCGAGAGCAGCCGCTCAAAGTGGGTGACGCACGCCTCCATCAGCTCCTCGCAGAACGGCGGGTTCGCCTCGAACGAGCCGTGCGTCGGCTTGAAGTCGAGCACCATCCTGAGGCAGAGAGGGGAAGAGTGTAAGGGGGAGAGGGAGTTAGGGGAGGGGAGATGAGAATGGGACAGTGAGAGAAGACGACAAAGCTAACAGAGCTCAGACAACTGATGGATGGAACAGATAGCCTGCCATAAGGTGACTTGCCCTAAGCCGAAATTGGTCCACATAATCAAATCATAGCCCATCCGGTACTCATCATAAAATAATTCGTTATACAATTCTGAATAAATTAAAATCGTCAGCGAGCGTCTGGGGATTGGCCTCGTAACCTTGTTTCGCCAGTCAACGAAATCCTACGAAGTACGAACTAAGCTAAACCGATACCCGCCCTAACGACGCATGACCGAACTTATCCCGTCACGACAGACAGAGATCCTTGGCACGAGCCAATATGACTCGACCCGACCCGTCACTCACCCCCGTGACCCGAAGTAGCCGTCTGTGTCGGGGAACGCGGAGCAGTACTGTCTGAAGTAGCAGTTGAGCGGCGAGGCGAACAGCTCGAACGTCACCCCGAAGTTTTTGTGTAGACACTCGAGGACGGTGAGAGGCAGCGCCGCCTGGTGGGAGAACGGACAAACAGCGGTCAGCGTCGGTCACAGCCATGCAGCTATCAAGCAGCACGCGGGTCACGGACGGCATCTAAAAATAGGAAAGTTCGGCGGCAGTTGAAGATCTACCGCCACATCCACCAGTGCGACATGAGAGAGACTGTGACTTGCAGGCCAAGTGACGTGGGTGGCGGACAGATATAGGTAACTGACATGACCAAATCACCTGTCTGGGCAAAAGATCAGACTGACCTGGGTGACGTCTTGCATTAAGACACTGACCTGGGACCTCGCTTGTGTGCCGGGCTGGCCCGTAAATATAAGAAAGACTAGACTGACCTGCGTGGCCTGTGTGGCCGAAGTCTCCCCGCCGCCGGTCGCCGCCCAGAACGTGTTGTAGCGCTTCAGCATGCACCAGACGCGCGTCAGGAACGAGTCCAGCTTGCGGTCCTCGATGCAGCTGTACCGGTACAGCTGCTCCTGTGGACCGAACAGAACGTCAGCGACTGGCGAGACCGCGGAGGGAATGGTAATCGTGGGATGAGCGCTGCGGTATGCTTCGTGAAAAAAATGTCGAGTTTTATCGACGTTTATATAGTGAATCCACAAGGCAATAGGCATGGTAATTCAAGTCATTGGGAATGGTTTGACGGCGGGGAATCCCATGTCAAACATTTAGTGCCAAATGTCACGGGTTAATTAATACGGAGCAAAAGTCTTGCATTATATCGCGAATGACTGCAATTGATTGCCCTAATACTCTCAACTGAAGTAAATTTGAGTTTCCAACAGCAAACACTATCAGCTATCATATTATTGCCTCCTAAAAAAAAAAACATGACAGCCATACGCCACAGCTATTCCCCGCGTCCTCACCAGTTTCTGCAGGTAGAGCGTGTTGATTTTGAGCGCCTCTCCCTTGTAGCGCAGCATCATGGTCTCCTTGTCCTGCAGGTACTCGATCTGAGGCAGCCGCGGTGAGGGCAGCGCGTACTGGATCGGGAAACACCACACCTTGCGCGGGTTCTCCACCGTCAGAGACGTGTGAATCTCTGCCGGGAGGAGGACAAAAGGTGGGAGTGATCAGTGCTGGTACACACGGACCCGGATGGGGCAGATGTTTCGGGTCAAAATAATCTTATCATTATTGGACACGCAGTCAACGGACAGAAAACGTGCCTCGTTGGACCCATTTTTGTAAAGTGCATTCATTCATTCATTAATTCATTCATTCATTCACTGATCGATTCGCTCATCCATTCATTCATTCTCATCAATTCACTCATTCATTCATTTATTCATTAGCATTTACTCAGTGTAAGTAAGTATAAACATTACGATAAACGATGAATGCCTTTGCATGAAGCCAGCTGCTGCTGCAGCTGACCCATACCCCGCGCTACCCGCTCCACCTGCACCTCACCTACCTGTGATGTTGTGCTCTTTGAGTAGCTCCCAGTGTTTCTCGTGTATCTTTTTGGCGTAGTCGGCCGACAGGTTGTACACCTTCAAACAGATGGCCTCCACTGACTGTTTGGCCGCCTCCGTGATCTGCGGCTGGCACTGCCGCTTCAGGTGCTGCAGCCGCTCCTGTTGGAAACAGGGGGGGGGGGGGGGGTGGCGGTTAGCTGTCGGGGGGCTCTGTGATCTGCGGCTGGCACTGCCGCTTCAGGTGCTGCAGCCGCTCCTGTTGGACACAGGGGGAGGGGGGGGGGGGGGGGCTCCGTGATCTGCGGCTGGCACTGCCGCTTCAGGTGCTGCAGCCGCTCCTGTCGGGCACGGGGAGGGGGGTTAGCTGTGCGTGTCGGGAGGGGGGGGGGCTCTGTGATCTGCGGCTGGCACTGCCGCTTCAGGTGCTGCAGACGCTTCTGTCGGACACACACGGGGGGGGGGGGGGGTGGTCAGTTCAAGTTGAGCACGCAAACGGATCTCGGAATCATGGCTTGAGTTCGAGTCCATCACTTGTTCCTTGGAAAGAAGCGTTCGTTCAATTCGTTTTCATATTCAACTGAATTTTAATGATGATTTAAAGGGACCCTCCCACCTTCAAAAAAGTTAATGAATTGGCATAAAAGTGACATCCCTTGGTTCGGAAAGATCAAAAATGAATATCTATCCAATTTCACCGAAAAAAAAAATATTCACTGGTTTTTAAGATATTAGCCGTTTACTTTTGTTTACTTTCTGGGATCTCCGCTGTTCCTAGCGACTTATTTGGAAGCAATAATTTGGCAGCCTCGAAGTGCGGCAGACGTTGCGCGCAAAGCAGTGTATACCACCACGTGTTAACAATGGTTTTAGTCTAAGATTTAAAAATCGTTAGATCTCCACTGACATCACAAATTCTAAGGGGGCATTCCAATGCATATTTAGCTCCTTAGAATCCGAAAACTACAAGTTTGAAATTCCATATCTCCGAATTAAAGCATTTTTCGATGTTGTGAGTGCCCAAACCAGTATTTGCAGGCCATGGCCACCAATTTGGCTATCTCAACTCAAAACTTATGTTAAGGTGGGATGGTCACTTTAACAGTGACAGTCCCATAGCAATGTCGGCCGTTTGCGACCTGTACTATTCCATTCTTACCTGAAAGTCGTCGAACGAGGCTCCGACTGTGCGCCGCAGCCACTGGAACGTGTCCTCCACGTTCCACTTGACGATCTTACGGCTCTCCGGGCTGGCCGTCCTGATGGGCAGATGAAGGGGCGGTCAGAGTTGCTGAAACTTGAGGCACAGCAAGAGCAGAAAGGAACAACGAACGGGTCAAACGCAGCTGGGATTGGGAAAGAAACGGCTATACGGGAGCTGCTTGGGATATGCGGTACTACATGGAGCTATGGTATTGGAATGCGATGAACGGAGTCCAAGGCACTCCAGTCGAAGGCACTCAGCTGACCCAATAACCAACCAGCCATCCCTTTCATGCTCAACGCCAGTCATGTTCCCTACTCACCTCGACTCAATCATCTTTTTGGCTGCCTCGCAGTAGCGCGAGAGCTGCTTGCGCGCCTCGCCGGTAAACTTGGGCTTCACCAGCTTCATGGGCAGGTCGTTCATGATCTCTCGGTACATGGACATGGAGATTTCGGGGTAGCAGAGCGAGGGCAGCAGCCGGTCGGTGCCCGAGTCGATCACCTTGCGCTCCATCAGCCAGCGGCTGAACGAGCCCACCGGGGCGTCCACACCTGCCACACGGTACCGGGGGAGACGGTGTCAGGGTGCATAATCCTCTCCCATTCAAAACACATTCCGAGAAAAATTATTTTAAATGCTCAGTCGGCTAGATCAGTCGATAAAAGTAGTTTCAGCTACCTACTCATTACGCGTCGACAATATTGCGGGACAAGTTGCAGAGCCGGGGCTTACCGCAAAGTGGGGCAGAGCACCGTCCTATTTACGGAATGCGCCCGAATTGTACAAAACGTCTGCTTGGGCACCCGCAAATCGACGGAACTAGCACACGCTCTTTCTAACCGTACTGTAGCTATAACCGCGGTAGTGAAAACTGTCCGACAAGCCAGTATGATATAAATGGACTGGTGACATGGTATTCCAGCATCAATACGCATTACGCACCCTCTCTGGAGTGGCAGAGCTCCTGGTAGGTCTGCCGCAGCTTGTTGGTCAGCTGGGCGCGCATGATCTCGATGTCCGGGTGTGGGTGTGGAGTGGTGATGGGCGGACGCTCGAAGATGACTGCGTTGGTCGGAATCTCCAGGTCCCATGGACCACTGCCGGGACAGGTCACAGGTTAGAGATCACAGGTCACAAGTCACGTCAAAGGTTACACGTCACAGGTCAAGGGTCGTAGGTCATGGGTTACAGGTCATGGGTTACAGGCCACATGTCAAACGTCACATCCTGAACTGCCAAGAAGACCGGAGAGTGGCAACGAGCACACGTGCTCCAGTTATACTCGGACAGAATCGATGATCGTAAAGACCTTTCAAACTCCGTCTTTATGGTCGGATGCTTATATAATATCGGCCAAACATGCACTTGTTTCGTAACAGCTCTCGTAAATATGCGGCAGCCGAACGACACGGCAGCACCATTAGGCCGAAACTGACGACATCAGGCATGGAACGGTAGCCGTCGGCATTTCAAGCGGAATCGTGGCCCTGCCATTTACGGCTGGTGGAAATTGAGTCGGGAAGCACGTCCTATTACGCTATGTTAGAGATGAATGCAAATGTCATCGCATACACAATACAATTACAAACGATCTGCTTCGTAATAAATACGTTATGGAAGCACGATCCGAAACAATAGGCATCTACGATAGTGCATCTCAGTACCTAGGAGACGTAAAAATAAACTACCAGTAGCAATAAAATCAACCATGCTCAAGGTGTCGCAGCATATTTATATGTGACTTCCATAAATGCATTTGATCTTGTCGATGATTATATAAAGCCACAGCCCCGGCACATTGCAGCTACGGCTCTCGGGAAACGGTAGAGCTTTCCCGCCCATCTCCCGCACAGCCCCCGACTCACTGGACGATGGGGATGCGTTTGGTGACCGGTCCGCCGAACTCCTCCGAGGCGCGCCGCTTCAGGCCCTGACCCGGATGACCCGGCTGACCCATGATGCCCAGTGGGTCGGACACCGGGTCAAACTGCCGAGGGGAGAAGGTCAGATAAGACAAATGACAAACGGTCAGCTCAGCACGCAGCATGGCAATAAATAATTAGTAGATACGAGTAACATGTCAAATGTCAATCGATAGTTTAATCGAGATACTAAACAAGTCACAAATGATATCGCATCCACTCCCTATGCTTCGATTTTTTCACGCTGTCAGACTTGACAGGAAAGCCCTTCCCAAACACAAACAGCGCTTAGCATATTGTGGTAAGCGTAATATAGCCATAAATTTATGAATAACCATGCAGCTTGAACTGGCATCTTTTTTGAATGCATGAGTGCGAATTTCCGTTTCTGCCAATCGCACATATTTGGCGACTCATTTTCCGCACTACGAATACGAATATGATGCTGTCGACTCGAGTCTCGAGTCCCCGATGCTGTCGACTCGGCCATCTTGCAGAGTCCGAATATCTGCATCCAATGCATATGGTAAAACCACTCATAAGGTTTACCAATACATCGAGCGTCCTGCGTCGCTGCAGATAATTCAAAGCCATACCCATCGGGACTTGCATATCGAGCACACGTCACGACTCAAATCAAAGTTTTACCGGGGACGGTCACATGTTTGTCCCATTATTGCCATCTATAAGCTAGTTCTACTCCCCAGTCCCCACTCATGCTCAGTGTGGGTCCTCACCTGTTGCCGTCCACCATGCAGCGGCGGCAGGTCCCACAGTGACTGGTTGGTGAGGTGGTTCCAGAAGTAGTGTCTGTTCTCCCTGCGGGACCACAGCCGCCGCCAGCCCTGCGCCACCAGTTCCGGGGGCAGCTCCTGGGTGTCGCCCGGGATGGGCGGGGGAGCAGCTAGAACTGGGGTGCTCGGGCCGGCCACGGCCATCGGAGGTCCGCTGGGTGTGGAGAGTGGAGGCAGAGATGGAGCGGCACTTGTTCCAGGCTGTGACGGCACTGCACCTGCTTGGCCAGCCTCCCAGGTGGCTGGTGGCCTGCCTGAGTTCATGGTGGCTGAACTGCTGAAGAATGGATAAAAACAGTTTATTGACGAAGAAATAGATAATCATGTGGTAGAAAATAAGAAAGGTATTTACCATTGTTTAAAACTGAAGCAATAAATTAAGTATCCACTTCAAAAAGTAAACATAAGAGAAGTTACTTTTGAAAACAATGAAGGAATTAACTCTCAAAGTAATGCTAATACCATCAAACTTTTAACAAAAAATGCCTCAGCAATCAAAGCAAAATGAATGACAGAACCATATGGTAAGACCAAGGAAATATGTTGATCATAAAATTAGGACATTGAACATATAGAAAATGAATGATAATGGATATAAAACACGTTTTGAAACACATATTTAAATAATTACGCCATGCTTCCGGTGGGCGGGCCACAGAACGAATCTAAACTACACATAGGTTGGCAAACAGGACACAAAACGGGCCAAAACTAGCATAAAACTACATTAAATTAACTGTTTCGTAAAAATAACCATAAAAATTCCAGTTCTGATGGTAAGATTCCCGAGCACACCTTATTTAGCACGCGAAGCGCACGGACGCAGCCCACACGGAACGGACGCCATTTCCCTCTGACGCCGATGATCGTTATTTTGGTCACGTGACCAATACAATGTACGGTAGATGTGTTTCTCCGTCTTCTTGTAATTATTTCATGCATTTATGTGTCTTATTTTGGTGATGTTAGCTACTTTTCATTTGAAATATAACAAAATTAGGAGCTTAGATTACCATATTTTAGCATACACTCAAGGAACTTTGCAAACGATTTTCAAGGAGTTAAAAGTTAAAGTCATTTGAAAGTTCCTGTACTTATAACTCCATCGAAATATTTGATATACTTGTTCAAAATGTCATTGGCGTAAATATTTTCAAAAAAAAAGCCTCTTCTCGTTCAGAATATGTCATAGAAATTCTTTATAAATCACATATTCGTCAAAATGCACACAATTTATAAATAGTAGCTGCATCCTTCTATGAAAAACTGTCTTTGATGCGCCGTTTTGGGTGTTGTAATTTTTCCACTTTTTCTCTTTGAGGTCAAAGGCCGATCGCGGTGCATCTTCGTAAGAAAATATTGATTTTTTATTAGTTTTGGGTGTCCATAGCCTTTTGTTTGAATGAAATTTGTGTTAAATAACATCATCACGTTTTATTTGTCCCGAATCACTTGTGTACGATGCTATCACTCCGCTGTAGTCACCCTAACGGAATGCGATGCTGATGCACTGTTCTTTCCATTTCCCCAAGGCCGTTTCCTGTTTCTCCTGTTTCTCTGTTTCCTTGCTTAGTGCTTACCGACAACATATAAGGCTTTTTGTTCTGACTTTTGAGCTGCAAGCTTAAATTAAGTATTCAATGCAGGAAAGCTGATAAATATGTCTTCACTGGTCCTCCGTGTGGCAGCGGATGTGCATGGTGTTGGTGTCTGTCTTGTAAGTTGTAACCCTGTGTCAGTATCAGTGACTTTGTGACTGGGTCTCAGTTTATAGCTCCACTTTGTTAAGCCCATGTTTCTTGTCAGCTACCTATCTAACACCTGGAGAAAACGGATCCCGCTAGACCATGTGGGACTTGTCACTGTCGATATATAATAGACTTGTTGAAAAATTTCACCAGTGAATTGGGTGCAGGCAAGGTCAGGTGGTGGGTGCCTTCTGTTATTTACAGCAAGCACCAGTTAGTGTGACACCAGGGCTCAAAGCCATTCCTTCATCCACAGAGACACTAATTTTCTAAAGGAAAGAGAACAAAGTTATGATATTAATGCAATATTGGATTCAGTTTGCCTTCCCAGTCACAGGAAATTTGAAACACATACCATCCTGAGCTGTCACCTGTTGATAAGATATTGTGATGCCTAAGGGATTGTCTTGATGTCCTGATTGTGATGCTTTTTTAGGAGTAAGCTCATGGTGTCATTTCATAGCCCTGCCACTCCTCTGCAAGCTATCAATTTCAATTCAAATTATCAACAAATTGAAATAAACTAAGGATTGCTATAATTGCCTATGGCACTGGCCTATTCCCATTCCCTCTCCCTTACTCTCCAGACCCTCATGCGGATTCTGACTGTTCTAGTCATTTAGCAGTAGCAGACATCAAAGCAGCAGGATTTTATGATCAGCATTCTATTCAGAGGTGGATTCCTAGTGAATGGCACCCTACTGGTCTCAGTAATAACTTTGGCTCTTACCATACCAAAGGCTCCTGCCCCTCAGCACTCAGCAGCCTTTGACACCCATGTGGGCCATTGTTCAGTTAACTTCTTCATCAGGGCACCTTTTCCCACAGCATATGGTAATAATGAACCAAATTTATCAAATTTTCTTACTATTTATTGAATGAAAAGCAATGCTAGTGTTGGTACCTTAATGGGATTGGTAAATGGTATCTTAAAGGGATCATGACAACATGACATCCAAATCTTCTGTTTCAGCTTTATTTACTTGGCCCCTGTAGCAAGTCATGGCTGCCCTTCAGATCAAGCCAGCCCAGCTGAAAAAGCTGTTCACTTATGGTAAGTGGGCTGTGATTTCATTTTATGATATCTGCCTCGAAATATAATCCATTTTGTGTGACCAATTACCAGCTAATGCATCTATTCAAATGTTTTTACTTCATGCATTACATATATTCACAGATATTTGCTCACTCATTCTACTGGTACTCATTCATCACCCGGAAGACCATATAAAGTTATTGTTTGTATATCTAAAAGTCTATTTTGAAATGATAGGCAAACGCCTAAATCAATGCGGACACGTTGTCAGGCAGCGTCGGCCACGTCATACACCGTTGTGGCCTCACAACGGTGGAGTCGCGTCGAAGACTCGTACTCATCAGGCCGCGTCGGCCACGTCGTATATACACCGGGCCGTCGCGCACCGGCGAAGTCCCGTCCAAGACTGTCGCGCCCCCATCCCATCTTAGTGGTTTCTGGTTTCATATGCAATGCTTAGTGACTATTCACATAACAAAATATGGTAAATATCAGGCATGCTCCTATAGTAGCATGGCTACACTGGCCAGTCAGCTCCCTTACACACACTGTCACATGTCACATGCATTCCCACCATCTGTGTTGTCCAGGCGGCGTCCGCACGATGGCTGCTGCCGCGCAGGGCAAGAAGAACATTGTGCTGGTGGAGGGTGTCCGCACGCCTTTCCTCATGTCTGGCACCGATTACAACAAGATGATGCCCCACGATCTGGCCCGCGAGTCGCTGCTGTGAGTCGTACGGGAGGGGAGGGAATGGTCGGCGCCGGTGAGGGGATCGGGAGATAGATACCCACTGCCGTGGCTTTTCGTGGAGTTGGTTCGTCTTTGGTTAGAATCGCTAATGTACAATTTGATATTGATTAGGTTGTATTGGTATTGGATGGGGTGCGAATTCATTTAAGGGCTCCTTTTTAATGCCCTGCAGCATATTTACTCAGAAAGTTGTTGATTCTATCAGAATACGAGCAACATATGGCTGGGGAATACAAGTGGTTCTCAAATTCTCGTCCGGAAACATAGTCGTCTGCATCAAAATCCAAGTCACCCTGACTTCACTCACCGCCTGCCGTCAGTGGCCTGGTGCGTAAGGTGGGCTGCGAGCCGTCCGACATCGACTACGTCACCATCGGCACCGTCATCCAGGAGGTGAAGACGAGCAACATCGCGCGCGAGGCGATGCTGGGCGCCGGTTTCTCCGACCGCACCCCGGCGCACACTGTCACCATGGCCTGCATCAGCTCCAACGCCGCCATCGCTACCTGTGAGTGATAGAGTGGGAGAGGGAAGGGGAGGGGGAGGGAGGTTTGGTGGTACTGCTTGTAAAATATGTCCCTGAGGGATTAGTGGAGCTGGTGGTGCCGTTCTATTTTACCCTCAGCTTTTTCCGTATTTTGTTTTTATTTTTCAACACCACATTCAATAGTTTGGCGCTCGTGAGCTCGCAGTTCGCATTTCTTCCGCCCGTGACAGACTAACGATGTATCGTCTCCTCTGCACCCCTCCTGTGAGCATTAACTAACCCCCTACCCGCTCCGGCAGCGGTGGGTCTGATCCAGGCCGGCGTGTACGACACGTGCGTGGCTGGCGGCGTCGAGTTCATGTCCGACATCCCCATCCGCCACTCGCGCCAAATGCGCGCCCTGATGCTGCGCGCCAACCGCGCCAAGACCATGGGCCAGCGGCTGGGACTTCTGGCCTCCATCCGGCCCTCGTTCTTCACACCGGAGGTGAGAGTGGGACGGGGGTAGAGACTGAGTGGGGTGTGTTCAGGCGTGGTACAAGCCTGGTGTGCAGATTGATAATGTGACGTTTGTTATGCGACGTGACTGCATGTGCGAGATTGTGATGTCATTCCTTTTCTTGAGCAGAGACCGGGATAAGCCTTGAATCGAGTGCCGGGTATCGCCGAGTTCTCGACTGGTGAAGTGATGGGCCACTAACCTCTGTATGACCTCTAGGTGACTCCGTTTTGACCTATCTGTGACCTCCCCAGCTGCCCGGTATCGCCGAGTTCTCCACCGGCGAGGTGATGGGCCACTCGGCCGACCGTCTGGCGGCGGCGTTCTGCGTCAGTAAGGCCGAACAGGACGAGTTCGCCACGCGCTCCCACCGCTGCGCCATGGACGCGCGCGACAAGGGCTACCTCTGCGACGTGGTACCCGTGAAAGGTGAGAAACGGGTTGGCAGGAAGAGAAGGGAGCTGGTTAATCTGAAGTCAAAGCAGTTGGTGCCAGATGTTCCTCGAGGCTTGAAGTGTCCTTCCCTCTCAAGCGATGCCAACGTGCCAATATATGCTGCTGGTCAATTGATTTAGACGAAAGTTTGCTCTTAAACCGAAAAATATCAGTGACAAAGAGAGGTGTTTTATGATGACTGAACTCGACCTGTCAATAATATCCCACTGTCAAACTGAGTTGACAGTGATGCGTAGTTACGGCCTTTCGGATGACACGTTACACTTTCTTGCCGTTCCAAATCCAGTGCCTGGTAAGGAGGTGCTGGTGGAACAGGACAACGGCATCCGTATCACCCCGCCGGAGAAGATGGCGGCCATGAAGCCGGCCTTCATCAAGCCGCACGGCTCCGTCACCGCCGCCAACTCGTCCTTCCTCACCGACGGCGCGTCAGCGTGCCTCATCACCACCGAAGAGAAGGCCAAACAGATGGGCTGGAAGCCCAAGGCGTACCTCAGGGAGATGACGTTCGTATCGCAGGACCCCAAGGACCAGCTGCTGCTCGGGTGAGAGGAGTGGGAGTGGGAGGGAAAGGGGGAGGGTAGGGAAAATGTGTGGTGCTTTGGCTCTGTTGAGTTACGATGGTTTACATTGTAGGAGCTCGCACCATGTGTTATGCATGTTAGCTTTTGTTGTATGATTTTGGTAATGTTATTTATTTTGAAATACTAAGAGAAAAATGTTTTGGCTTCAGTACATTTGACATTTTCGTTTGTAATATCGGCAGTACCATTCGCTGTTGTTCTGTGGCCTGCGTTCCTTGTCGTGTTTCGTTTACACAAGATATCTCTGAGCCTAGTTTCCCTATGGTCTGTGCCCGTCTCCCACCGGTCGTGCCGTCTGTGTCTATCGCTAACCCGTTCGCCTGTGCCCCGACAGACCGACGTACGCCACGCCGCGCGTCCTGGAGAAGGCCGGCCTGAAGCCGAAGGACATTGACGTCTGGGAGTTCCACGAGGCGTTCGCCGTGAGTACTGCGTCTTTGCGGTGCTATTATGAAACACAATTCCATTTTGTTCATAACCGACGAAGTTCGTTCCGTAATAATGCTAGTAAACTCAAAGGCTGATCAGTTGCGATGTTTGTTTATTAAAACTCTACAAGTGTTTTGTTTTACCATTTTAAGTGTTTGGAAGAGAGCGTTAGTCGTCTATGGTCCATATTCCGTTGACCTTTGTACCCGTTTCCCTCCGGTTACAGGGTCAGATCCTGGCCAACTTCAAGGCCATGGACTCTGACTACTTTGCCAAGTCCCAGATGGGCCGCTCGGCCAAGGTGGGCGCTCCACCGATGGAGAAGTTCAACAACTGGGGCGGCTCGCTCAGCATCGGACACCCCTTCGGTGCTACCGGTACGTGTGGCCAGTGTCCTAATACAGCTCATGACGGTGAAATGTCCTCTGTGACTGCGACGGCCCTAAGCCCACATCCTCCATTTGACAAGTCGTCCAAGGTGTTATGCTCCAAATAGTTATATCGAAATATTCGGTTTATTCCTGTGATAATTAAGCGAGGATTTTATCAGACCGTTGTTTGGGATTTTGACTAGCACAGGATACATTAAAGTTCGATGCACAAAATATCCAATGCATATACAAGGACAGTGTAGATTATAACAAAGTTCTATGAATGTGGCTGTGCGCAAACTTCCCGTATATGTGTGATGGTAACAGTCGACGTCCTCTGCCGGTCGCAGGTGTTCGTCTGGCGATGCACGCGGCGCACCGTCTGATCCAGGAGGACGGCAAGCTGGCTCTGATCGCCGCCTGTGCCGCCGGAGGACAGGTGAGGACGCTGCGGGAGGAATGTGGGAGCTCGGACTACGGGTGTAGGTACTTTGAGAGGGAGATGTGGATGTACGGAGAGAATACTGCGTATGAGGAATGTAAAGCATGGGCTAGGAGGGGCTACTGTGAGAGGATGGGACGGGACAGAAGGAATGGGTTAGTGGGAGGATACTTTGCTCTTCTCTGGGAGGACGGGAGAAATATAATAGAAAGGAGGATATCATGGCTAGAGGTATTGGCCACCTAGCTCAACCACACAAGGACAGATGTCCAGAGATCAACTGGATAATGAAGTGGGAATTGAGTTTGATCGGGACTTACCCTAGCAACCTTGTTTATCAACTTCCTTATGTGACTGGCAGTTTTTTGGATGGTGGAGCGGATACGGATTTCCTGTCAGTTGTGTTCGTTACCGAGTTTCCTCGTGCGTCATTCTTTGATCTGGCACTGCAGTCTGCACTTGTAGATCCTGTTAATTCATTATTTTCATGTTGTTTGTGATGACAGGAAGAAGGTCCAGGATATATCGGGCGGAATAATCGGGGTCGTGTTGCTGAAGTGTAGTTGGAAGCCGATAGACTGATCCCTCGATCAGAATAATAGCCGAAGGTTCTTCGATGTGTTTGTTATTGGAAGTGTGGCTGCCGAAGCTCTGCCAAGTGGAATTGCGGTTTTTGTTTCTTACCATCATTTTCAGCGTGATTAACGTTTCTGGCATTGCCGTCTCATCAATATCGCAGCGTGCAGAAAAACACCGTCTATTTTTAGCCGGAAGCACGTGACGGTTCCTGTCGATTACCGTCGGCCCGGCAGTGCTGCCGCCTGCCGGCCCTGTCACCGGCCTGGCTGGGAGCCACACCCCACTGACCCCCCCCCCCTCCCCTCTCCCCCGCCTACGTCACAGGGAGTCGGCATGATTGTGGAGCGCTACCCGGGAGCCAAGCTGTGAGCCGACCACGTGACTGGACACCCACAGACGCCGCCAGTTGCCGGAGATACTCCGGCGCCTTAACCCGCGAGTTGCTGGGGGGGGGGGCGTTAAACGCCCCCACTTTTTTCGCCGGGCCATAGCATAAAAACGGCGCGCCGCAGGCGCGCCAAATTTTGGGTACCTGTAGGGAATTGGTTGAAGTTTATTGTGACAAAGTTTCAAAAAATTCGGTCGGGAAATTTTTGAGATATCGAGGTTTTAGTGACGTCATGATTTCTGAGTTTTCGACCAAAAACGGCATATGTTCAAAAAATCATATAAAATCACAGAATAGACATACAGACATGCTGTAAACGCCATTAGACTGCCAATACCATGTTCAATCAAATGGATATCTTCGATTATTGATTATTGTTCCGCATTTTCCATAATCTTGAACTGAATCTTGGCAATTTTTCGTGACTACTTCACGACCATGATACATGAATTTCTTAAATTGAACTTTTTGAGCCAAACACGTACACATATGATAAAATAAATGTCACCATCGTGTTCTACGCCCCAAATTACCTATAAAACATGTGTCACAGGCTGCGAATATCAGTTTTGATTTTCGGGGATATGTGCCTACCCGGTTGACCTGACCTTGACCCTGACCTATGCTTGACTGACCCCTACATGGAGCTGACACTCTTGTAGGCCTTATAAGATGGATTGTGCACCGTTTTGACAGAGTTTATGGCGAGAGGCGCCCATTGCGAAGTCCTGAAGTCCATGCTACTGAAAGCCCGATTTCAGGTGTTTGACCTGACCTTGACCCGACCTGTGACCTCAAAATTCAACTTTAAAGTACTCATCTGAAGCGTCTCGTCGCGTTCTTTCGTTTGCCGCCTCGTGCGTTTCGCTGCGCCTATTGGTTCTCGAGTTATCGGCTGGGGGCGTTTAACGCCCCCCCCCAGCAAACGGTGGGTGGCGAAATACCCCAGCAACTGCCGGGTTAACAATGCAAGTGGCCTCCCGTGGGGCGAGCGGGAGGCTGCCACGGTTACGGGCCGGGTCAGCCAGAGGGGCGACCGGCGCCAGACCCCGCGCCGTGGTGAAATGCGCGTATTTTATCGGTATGGGCACATACGCAGTGCTGACGATTTTGTATGAAAGGGGAGTGTGAAGAGTGGTGCAGTTATCGGAGTACGAACTGGAAACTTATCTAGCGCCTGTTTTGAGCACCGCGAGATGTGATGGTGGTTCGTTATCAGAAATATGGCTGATCTGGGAGATAAACATGTTGGAATGAATGGATTATAGGTGGCCGTTGTCGAAATCGATATCGGCCGTGAAACGAACATCGCTCGCCTATCGGCTGTATTTGGACTGTGGCGCCACCTGGATAGTGGTGGGCCGGTGTTGACAATATCAACACCGATAAACACGCGCTATCCTGTCCCAGACAAGTGTGATCCATGTAGCCTGCTGATTCCAATAAACGGAACTTATTGTGAGGTGTTGTGGTATTGGTAGTGCGGGCTGCGGATTGGCTGGAAGTGGCGTTATAAAGGCCTGGCTACACAATGCGTTTTCTGCGTGCGTTTTTGCAGGTTTGCGTGTTTTGCGTAATATCGTTCTAGGAAAAAAGTTATAAGCAATATGATATTTACTTTGGTTATATACAAAAGCTAATATAACTCTTATGTAACTAAAATTTAAGGTGAAAAACATCACAAAAACGTAATATCGTTCGTTTTTCTAAAACGATATCACGCAAAACACGTAAACACGCAAAAAACGCACGAAGAAAACGCATAGTGTAGCCAGGCCTTAAGACTGCTCTGGTGGGATGAACTGCCACCTAGACTCGCGTCATAGCCGCGAGATAATCAGATGATAAAACGAGATTGAGATACGTAGGTTCAAAACGACGTGGGTTGGATGTGCTGATTTGATCCAACTGCAAGCGTGCAATGTGCATTGCTCGATGCCATCGAGCAGCTATCAACTGATGTTGCCGTTGGACTTCGATCGGCTTCATTCCTATAATATTCTGAAATAAAATTGTATAATCATAAAGGCTAGCGGTAGCAACATACTTCAACGATCGGGATGTGCTCGCTCATCGCTGCCCCCTCATCGTTCGTACTGCAGCGAAAGCCCCGGCAGTTTTAGTAACCTTATCTTACAGACCTGACAACAGATGTCGCTAGTCTGACCTGCTTGCAGGAAATAGTGCTGAGAAATATTTCTATCTGATATTTTCATTATTCAACTCAATGAAATTTGCAGAAAAATCACTCCTTGTTATCTAATATTACTTTTCGTTTAATATTTTTACACACATTTTCCATCGGAAAACTGCTCTTGTCTTATCGATACATTTGTTTTATGTCGCCCATCTCTTGTCTGGGAATATCGACCAATCAGGAATGCGACCTTGCGTGGAGTGGTTATTCGGCAGAGGCGGCGCATTGGCGACGGTTACGTTTCGATGTCTGTCGCATTTCTGAGTTCGTGAGGGTGGTGTGAGGTCGTGCGTTCTTGCGCTATGGGAGCGAAAGTTGGCCAGTGAGACCCTCTGCTTTTCTGGTCTCAATTCCAGCCTTTGAGTCCCATTCCTCGCCGACCCACCATGGCAGTCACTGCCGAAAAAGAGGCCACCACGGCTCGAGAGAAGCTGAACGAAGATTCGGATGACGAGGACGAGTTCCTGGAATACAGCCCTTGCGGTACCATCACCAAACTTCGTCAACAAGTAAGTCACATCTTTTTCCATACTATTTCAACTCGGCGCCATGGTACCTTGCTCCTTTCATGGTGCTGTTTGCCTGCCCAATTCCATGATGCACCCTACTCCAAGACAAAAACAAAATTCTAATTCTGGCTGCATTCAATATATGTCAATATATTTTTGCATTTGTGCTTTTATCTTGTTTGTTTGTCACTGTTATTTCAACAAATCAAAGTACTGCCAAGCATTTCAACTGTGGGCATTGGTGATGAGTGCTGAGTCAGAAAGCTTCATATCTTCTGTCCGATATCTGGAAGAAATGTTGCTGAGTGAGAGTATAGTCTATGCCCTTGTATTCAGTTGTATTTAAATGTTGTTTTGTTCATGAGTTGTTCAATTTCAAAAGTTGTCATGCAGCTTGATATCTTTATCTACCAACATGCATTATGATTCTGCTCATCTCGCTGCTCATCGTGAACCATGGGACCAAAGACCTCCAGTTCAAGTGGACTGACTATTGACAATGACATTTATGTGATGTTTTAGTAGTTTTTTTATAATTTCTTTTACTATAGACCTAACCCTTGCAAAGCATCATTTTGTGTGTTTTATGTTAAATGGTTGGTGGAAAAAATGGTTATTTCAAGCATATGTTTCTTTTTCAACAGCCAAAACAAGCTGAATATCATCAATCTTGGAATCTGACACTGATAGAAAGGGGATAGGCTATGAAATTTTGATTGAAAATGGACACTTAGCTGCTTTTTTCTATGCATCCTCATGGTTTTCCATTGTTTGGTCAAGACTCCAGTCCAGTCCAGACAAGTCCAGAGTCATAGGCAGTGTTGACACTGCCTATGAGTTTCTGTCATTTTTTTCATCCATCCTGTCCTGAGCCGGCCGTTGCAGACGGCCGGCTGCTGACGTCACGCCCATGGCTGCCGGAAGCGGCGTGCCGGCCCGCTGTCGGCCGCGGAGCAAGGTCGCCTCTGCGCTGCTGACCGGCGCGTGACCGGCCGCGGGCAGAGGCGGTCCTCGGCGCGCGGATTCCGCCGCGGGCCGGCCAGTTCCGCGCGGACCCGGCACTGCCGGCTGCACGTAGCGGCCTTGGTTCATGCGGAATCTGAGCCGGGGGCAATGCCGGCGGATCATGCAGAATGCAGTCGATGAACAGGGCGGCCTCGGCCGGTGTGGGGGTTTCGGACATGGTAACCACTAACTAGCGCACCGATAGATGATATCGGAGTTTGAACGGCAACGGCACCTGCCAGAGGAGGGACTGTGTTCCCCGCTGTGGCTGGTCGGCCGAGCGTCAGCGATATGCCGTCACCAGTGGCAGTACCGGCGACTTTCGGAGACGTTTACGGAGTAATTGAGGCCAGACATGGCCGGCGCGCTGTGAGTGCCTCAGCAGAAAGGTGGTAAAACCGTTGGCCTGTGTCCGTCCGCTCATGCGGTCGGCTCTGCTCTGGCTGCCTGTGAATATTTGTGATTTGCGCAGCCCAGCGTGCCATGCTGTCTCCAGGGGTTATCTGAGCCGGCGAGGGACCGTGTGGGCCTGCTGGCTAAACGACTCTGCCATACCGTCCGGTGCTGCTGACCCGTGTTGTTGACCTGAGAGAAAGCTGAGCCTATCTGTGAACCCCGGCGGTTGTGACCGCGTCAGCAGGGTAGTGTTTGGTTAGCTCCCTGAGTCACCAAGACCCGCCCCGTGGCCGTCCACTCAGCTGACTGCCCGTCACGGCCGTCACAGACCGTCCGTCACGGCCGTCACGGTCCGTCTGAGTCGTGACGGCCGGCTGTGGTCCGTGACCTCGGCTCGTGCGGATTGACCAGACGTCTGGCGGCTGCCTTTGAAGCCCGGTCTGGTCTGACCAACATGGCTGTGGTCGGTTCGTATTAGTGGTGTCAATCGGAACTTGAATCTTCGGAATTCCGATTTTGTCCAATGTCCAATGCGGAATTCGGTTGGACAATGACAGCCGGCCTTGGACAACTTTGGACAATCGCTTGCTACACCTCAACATGTTTATAAAATAATCGTGTTTAACATTGATTGGCTATTAGAAAGCTCAGCTTTCGATATGATTACCACTTTTGAGCTGGTAACGATAGATTAAAACCAAATTAAATAACGGTGTTGAGTGTAAACTATTGTGTAGATATCGGACATCTTTGGACAAATGGCTGGCTTGGAATTTTTTGGACGGACAGTCGACGTAAGTATTTGACATTGGACGGACATTGGACATATGTTTTCTGAAATTGACATCACTAGTTCGTATGGCGCAGGCGAGTACTGGGAAGTGATTGAGCTTGTTATGTGGAGAACTGGAGTAGATGCACCGCTCAAGTGCAGGCAAGCTTCCTGGCTGGAAACTTATGGTGTTCTTTTGTTGATGAGGTTTCGGCGATTTCGGCGCATGAATTATGTCCCGAGGAAAGGATTAGCTCAGTAGTTTGGTCGAGTTGTGCTCGTCACTTGTCTCCGCGCAGTATGGCGTAGGCTGGAGCGGTGCTACTACTTAGTTGGTGGATCCTGATGGTGAGTGAAGGTAACTCATCTAACTGAGCTCGGGCTTACACCATCGAACTGACACGGGCGCCACCAAGTCCGGACTGATAGTCTATATATACGGATGAACTGAAACCCCGGTGCTGCTAAGCTCCGGCTGCTGTCCGGCCAAGACGGACGGTCCAGGGGAGCCGGTGGAAAGGGTGGAATGGAATGTCCGGCCGGAGCTCCCTTGGGCTGTCCACCTGCTGCTGCTGAGGTTTTCTGAGTGTCCCTGGCGTCGCCATATTGGGTATAACACTGACATAAATCGGAATGGCGCCACACAAAACATATTGAACAATCGTCGCTTTTCCTATTCGGAACGCGGAGTTGTTAAAAGCCATCGAGAACTTCTCTTGAACTACATAACACCGCCGGCCCGAGGTCGTCCTTTTTACACAGGGGATGTGAAAAGTTATCGCATTTACCTACTGGACAGGTTTTTGTGGCGGCGTTCCCAAACGGAGTTAATTGATGTAGCTCTACTGCTGAGATTGGAAAGGCGACGATCGTCTCTTGGCACAATTTGTGGTGGGATCGACCGGTGGACGCTGCCACACAATGAGCCTAACGACGGGCCGGAGGGGCCCGGCAGAGTGACCGGTGTGCCAATCAGTGCTCAGGGACGGTCGGGTGTCACCGCTTCCCCCTGGCGACCGACCGGGGTCGATAGCAACCGTAGGAAACCATGTATTTATAGCTTTGCGGACATAGCATTGATCCACTTTGCAAGCTTATTCTTGCCCATTGTGCAGAATATGAAATACATGATATAAATAATTAATATGCATACAACCTTGAAACGAAACATTCAAACGGGACTAATGCGATACAAACAGAGCTATGAGTTTCATGAAAATATAGCAAAATGCGCTGTCTTGTGCATCATGGTTTGTTGAGCAGGCTGCTGCATTAGTGATGGCCGAGCTGGCCTTCTGCACTGATAAGAACTGCACGGTATGGGTACGGTACAGCCCTGTCCGCAAACGCCAACGACTCATAACACAAGCGCACAACTGCCGTCAGCTCACATTATGTCAGATTTAATGGGAAACGTCGACCCAGCAACAGTCAGGATTCAGGCGCCGAGATCCCTGGGCTGTAGAACGGCGTCTGGGGTGGCCACAGACCGGTTCCAGTGACCTTTCCATAGCGTGCCTGTCGACCACAGGTCGTCCTTCTGTCTGTCTTCCGCCGCCGATCGGGCACCTAGCGGGCCTCTGTTCCCGTCGGAGGGTCTGTCTGGGGGCGGTCCGTCCTCTGGTTGGCCGGTGTCGCCGACCGGTTGTCGTGTGGTGGGCGAGGTCGGCCGTTTTTTTTTTTGTCCGGTCGCAGAGGCCCGTCTGTCGCGGGATGGTCGAACGCGACTGGTATTGGACAGGGGTCAGGGGTCACATATCACCGATCGGTGAGACAGGACCGGCGAGAGAGAGGTTTAGGCTCAGTCTCTGCTCTCTCTCGGGCTGTCCTGCCTCCGCCGTCCTCTCTGCGCTCTCTCCCTGTCTCCTCTCTCAGCTTTCTGTTTGTTCTGTTCCTTGTTGCTGTCTTATTTCGTTCAGTCCGATCTATCCGGTTTGGTTTGGCTTGGTTTCGTCCGCTCGAAACAGACGTGTGTCAACCTGTATACGCAGTTTGGCAGTCGTGTCGTGTTGTAGGTATGTTCGCCAGTCTCTGGACGAAATGTCGCCTCTCGTGCCTGACGGCCTCATAACTGCCACCTCTACTCCCTAGCTGTCAGAGCCGCTGAAATCCACACTCGCCAGTGAGACTATCGTGTCCAATGTCAACCGTCCTATCCTGCTATGCTCTTTAGTGCCCCGCCCAGCGCGCAGCCTTGCTCTTACGTCGCCTGCCTCGCCACGTTCCAACTTTGGGCGCAAAATGACCGTTTAAGTCGATGCGCCCTAAAGCCCCAATAAACAAACTCCCGATCTAACTTGTCCCGTCCCAATCTGTCTTGTCCCGTCCCGTCCCGTCCTTTCCTCCTTCTCGTCGACTCGCCGGCCCGCCGTCTGGCCATTGCGCGGACACCGGTGCCTGGTTAGGCTCAGTCGCCGGTAAGGGGCCTGTCGGGTGGACGGCCGCCAGCCCGTGTCCTGTGTGATGTCACACGTCCAATGACGTCACTGTCCCGTATGATGTCACTGAACTGTGACGTCATTGGACGCCTGACGTCACATGACCCTCCATCGGTTGGCGGGGCTCTACTCGATGGCGAGATCGACACCTTTTCTGGCCAGCCGCGTCGACATCTCCTTCTTGGGTGCTCTGAGGCCTTATCTGGGTGAATTTTGCTAGAAGCATGATATGCCGCGTGCCAGTTGTAGGAATGTTTGTGAATATTTAATTAGAAATTTCGTAGCCAGTTTTTTTTTTTTACTTTGTGTTATTGCATGGCTCATTCGTTTTACATGCTAGCAAGTTGTGAATGCTTTTATCAGATCAGATCCGCTGGTGGTCAAATGAG